ATGATGCCGAATGTTCACCAGGTTGGTTTCTGAAAATCTCAACCTCACCCTCACTTGTCACGCAATCCCAAAAGCACCAAAAGCGTCGGCGCCCAGAAGTAAGTTTGCGGCGCAAAAAGGCCCCCAATTGCGTTTTTCCTGCGGCCGGAGCAGGCTCGCACAGACGGCCAATCAGAAGAAGAAACAGCCGAGATATCAACGCCACGGCCGCTACGGATTCGGACCTTGGCGAGCGCGAGGCGCGGCGGACCGAAGCCGACAGGCTCACTGGTGTTAGGGGTCCCGGTCGCTGCAACCCGACAGAGCTTGACACGGCTTGTTGGGGGTCTTTTCTTACATTATGTTTTCTCTTCTCGGATTTCGCATGGCTCTGGACGCCGGTCGGTTGAGTAAATCCCAGTTGGGAAGGTGCCGAGGTTCAATAATCTCAATTGAATCAAGCGCCGCTGCGCTGCGGCTCTCTCTCGAATTTGACGCTACGTATGATCTTGCTGCGCTCGGATCGCGGATTTTCCAAACGTCCCCTCAACCTCGGCCGCACACACAATGCTTTCACCTCCGCCGAGAAGCAGCCACCGGATTTCTGTGGAGACCTCAACTCGGGAGACTTGCGAGTGCGAGCTCTGTTGACGGATGACGGATGCGTCCCGGCTGAGTAGGAAGGACCAGCTTGAGAACCATCGCGCCTGCCGAGGAGACGGCGATAGAAACTTCCCGGTGGTGCTTCTTTCTCTCTCTCTCTCTCATCCAGCATTCGTCGAGAGAGTGGTCGGGTGTCGATGAAAAGTACTTATCAGACGCCAGAGGCCCACAACCAGAACCACAAGCTGCTCATCTGAGGTCGTTATACTTTGCGCCAACCAGCCAGACCTAAATACGTTTTTAGATATCCTCCACACCTTTGCTTCAATCTATCCCCGTTCGATTGTTTCGTCATGGGGGCAACCAGTGTCGATAGCGCCAACAAGGAGTTGACCAACCTGGCGAACTCATCCGGGACCTCGCAGATCACGGCCACGGCCATCGCCGCCGACAACAGTCAGAATGAGGGCTCATCGGAGAAACAAGACGCCAGCGCGGCGACTACGGCACCTGGTCCCAGCATAGATCCTTGGGGGCAAAGAACGCAGTCCGAAATCTCAAAATGGCGATTCATCACATTAAGCACAGCGTAAGTTGGTTCTCTCATCATCTCTTGGAATCATACTCCGGTAGCCGGGACTGACAACCGGCCACAGCCTGAGTCTTGGGTTTCTCCTGGCCATCATGGACACCTCGATTGTAGCCACCAGTCTGTACGCCATTGCAAAAGACTTTGGCGAGATCGAGTCCATCAACTGGGTCGCGTTGGCATACACGCTGTCGTACTTGAGCTGCGCCGTCTTGTTTGCCCGCATCTCGGATGTGATCGGGCGAAGAGAGGCGTACATGTTGGCATATGTCATCTTTGTTGCCTTTTCTTTGGCTTGCGCATGGAGCCAGAACCTTACGCAGCTGATCGCCTTCCGGGCAATCCAGGGTGTTGGAGGCTCTGGTCTGTACAGCCTGTCCATGATTTTGATGCCCGAAGTCGCTCCCCTGAAATACCAGAAGTTCATGATTGGATTTATCGGTATCGTCCTTGCCGTCGCCGGTGTGCTGGGACCCCTTTTGGGCGGAGTACTTACCGAGCACTCAACCTGGCGATGGGTATTTTGGATCAATGGCCCGATTGGAGGAGTCTCAGCCGTTCTTTTCTGGTGGTGTTGGCCTCGTCCGGAGTTCCTCCCACCTTTCGATCACAGAAAGTGGAAGGATGTCGACTTTTTGGGGTCATTGTTGCTGTATGTGTTATTACACCTTCGGGTCCTCCTCGTGACAGGCGCTGACAGCCAATAGGGTCGCAACGGCAGTTCTCATTGTCTTTCCCCTTCAGCACTCAAGCGCTGAGCCCAATTCCTGGTCCACGGCCATTTTCATCGCGCCGTTAGTGATCGGCGTCGCTTGCCTAGGGGGTCTTTTTGCCTATCAATGGTACATCGATCGGGAAGCAGATCGGAAGTGGAACACGGATTTGGCGGCCGCCATCCCGATGGTGCTGATCCGTAATCGGGTTTACATGTGCGCTGTTCTCAACACAACACTTATGGGGTTTCCCTATCTCCTCTCGCTGTACGCCTTTCCGATTCGCTTCCAGATTGTCAACGGCAAGGGTCCTCTTGATGCGGGTCTGATGCTGTTGCCCATGCTGGGTGCGACTGCCCTAGGGAGCTTCCTGGCTGGTGTGATCAACGGGAAGAAGAACGTCATTGCTGAGACCCTGGTGATCGCGGCTGCTTTGATGCTTCTTGGCTGCGCTCTCCAGACTACGGCTGGCAGTGGAGTGGAGGTAGAAGCGAAAGTGCTGGGATTCCAGGCATTTATGGGATTTGGGTTCGGGCTTTCGGCGACGTGTTCGACCATGGTGGCCTCTCTCCAGTCACCGATTCGAGAACACGCATCTGCCCAGGGTATTCTCGCTCAGGTGAGAATTCTCGGCGGCAGTATCGGCATTGCGGCATCTTCCATGATTTTGGGAGCCAAGCTGGCCTCGCTGGGAGGAGGTGTGGACCTGAACCGACTTACACATTCGGAATTGGGTATGGCCGAGCTCACGCCCGAACAGCAGACTACGGTTCGGATAGTATACACGGCGGCGTTGCGAGACAGCATGATTGTTTGCGCAGCACTCATGGGGTTGGCCATGGTGTGTGGAGTGGGGACGTATACGAAGGACAGGCTGTCAGTCGTCGAGCAACAGCAAAAGCGGGTGACGCAGGAAATAGCGCGGAGAAGCACGCCAATGCCGCCAAAGCCGATGGGCGAGGCGTAGATAGGGGTTCAGGGGTATTGTGTATTGGCAACAGGTGGATTAGCGAGCACGACAGAGCGGCGTGGCTTGGAACATTCGTCAAAAGTATGCTTACTGCGTATCAACGATTTCGCTTGCGGAAAACACCACCGGTTTCGGCGCAGGGGCGCATAGGATTAGATACGTGGGTTTCTGGTATATCCGTCCGTAGACGAATACAACAATGTAGAAAATGATCCGGTAATGCTTTATCTCCGAAAAGGCAATGGCTGAAGCCGCTAACAATAGCGACAAAGGAGTGCGGGGTAGGTATCCCACGTTCGGCGGGGCAAAGGTTTCCAGGAGAGTCTCGCTGTGAATTGTCCCCCAGCGGTTCGTTCGTTGCTCGATGCTCAGTGGATCTCCCACTATGGCGTCAGCAGCTTCCCACCACCCGCTGGTACCTTTTTTCAGCAGAGACGCTTTAAGTCCTCCCAAGTTTCCGTGATATACATCTCTCTCTTCCCCCATGTTCTCTACGATACGAATTGCTTTTCGTCTCCTCCGGAACAATACCACTCTGATCCCCAAAGCCCACCGTCTCGCTCTTGCTGCCGCCAACAACCAGGCCCAGGTCAGAAACATGACGTCCGCAACGGCACGAAATATCAAGGGTAAAACTGTTGTGATCACGGGCGCGTCGTCCGGCATCGGAAGGAGCTGCGCGTTCGAGTTTGCCCGCACCCAGCCTGATGATCTCAGATTGATCCTGACGGCCCGCCGCATCGATGCTCTCGAGGAGATCGCGGCCAAGATTCGGGATTCCGTCGGGCCGGGCGTCAAGGTCTTGCCTGTCAAGCTCGACGTGAGCAAGCCGGATGAGGTGCGGTCGTTTGTGCCGAATTTGCCCGAGGGTTGGGGGGATATTAATGTGTTGGTGAATAATGCGTACGTTTTTTTTTTTTTTCTCTTCTTCTTTTATGTCCATTCCGTGATGATGTGTTATGGGTAATGGCGCTGATATGACGTGGATAGGGGCTTGGTCAAGGGCGTTGCGCAAGCACCGAATATTGCCGAGGAGGACATCAACGTCATGTTTGATACCAATGTCACGGGCTTGATCAACATGACGCAGGCTGTGTTGCCCATCTTCAAGGCAAGGCCCAATGGCGGCGCTGGAGACGTGATCAATATTGGAAGCATTGCTGGGAGGGAGCCCTATGCTGGCGGGAGTATTTACTGCGCTACCAAGGCGGCGGTTAGGGCGTTTACCGAGGCGCTCAGGAAGGAGTTGGTTTCGACGAGGATTCGGGTTATGGAAATTGACCCTGGGCAGGTTGAGACGGTGAGTTCTTACATGCGCGCTTTGCATCGGCGTGTTGTTGGTTGGGTGATGTGATGTGCTTTACTAACGGATGTTGCAGGAGTTCTCCGTTGTCAGGTTTTATGGGGACAAGTCCAAGGCTGATGCCGTATACGCGTAAGTTCTCGGCAGCTGGTGGGATTCAGGTATGGGTGGTTCTCTGACTTGAGTTTAGCGGTGTCGACCCGTTGACGCCGGATGATATTGCTGAGGCTGTCGTCTTCGTTGCGGGGAGGCGGGAGAACGTCGTCATTGCCGACACGCTGATTTTCCCCCAGCACCAGGTAAGTTACCCGTAGGGAATCATATAGCCCCGCAGTTATGTTGCTAACTTGTTATCAAGGGTGGCGCTGGCGTGTTGTATCGCAAGCCAACTTGAGTTTCCAGTTTCAAGCCTGAAGCCAGTGCTATCAACTTGCACTGTATTTGAGTTCATGGAAGAGAGCGAGGCATGAGATGCGAGTGACTCCTTGCTGTCTTGGAATTGGTTGTCAAAATATGAGCAGTCACGAGCAGGTACAAAACTTGATGCACTAGACCACAATGTCACGTAGACAGCGCAAACTAAATTATCAGAGAAAGCTCGATCTAACCCCACTTGAACAAATTTCTTGCAAAAAGTACGTGATGTAAAATATCGTAGTCACGACCAGAGTGTTTGATCTACAGCGTCCTCAAATCCGTTTCTTACTTCCAACTAATGGGAGAGCATGGCAGTCATCTCGGAGTTGTCATGTCGGAGGACAGACAACCCTAACCCTTCTGGCTGAACTCAACAAAAGGTCATGCATGGAAAAAGCGGCCGGCTAAAGCATCCAAGAAACACAAGGTTGTGTAGTGTAGTGGTTATCACTTTGGATTTTGAAGCTTTCGAATTCCAATAACCCCGGTTCGAACCCGGGCACGACCTGATCACATTTCATTTTTGCATTTCCTGTGACTTTCACTTTTTGCATCGTCTTGTCCGCCGAATCGTCGTCTGCAAGTTTGTTGCATTATTTTTGCGGTTCGCCAACTTTGACGCTCAACAGAGCGTAGTGCGGACCAGGAAGAAATGGGTAATCAATAAATAGTCGCTGGAGGTACTGTGTCTGTATCTTGTCTGATGCACTCAATCTACTCTACCTCCACCGAGTCTGCTGATACTCTGAATCGCTCCTCGCCATGCACCAGAATGAATCGAACGAGGTAAAGAATTGGTATCTCATGCGTTCCACTGCTTGCCAATGCACCGGACCGTTTCCCATGCTGTCTATTCCACAACCGTAAATGCTATTCCTGCATGCAGCGTGGGTATTTACAACTTGTCGCTGAACCGTTCCTTCACCGGTGTCGCAGGGCCCCTGGATTGCCTAGACATACTATAGGGTGCCTGTGCAGAGCCAGAGTCAGTACTGCTCCAACTTGGAATGTTTGTCCCTGGATGACTTACCAAAACCTGCTTTGCATTACATATCCTCCATGCCAACTTTCTTACATTTCCGTCTGCGGGAACGACCCCTGCGGCGAACTCTATGCCGAACATGTGATGAATCGCGTAAACAACGCGTCTTGCATACTTGCTGTCTCTTTCAACATGGCTTCCAAACGGCTCGTCCACCGTGCTTGGCGCAATCTCTGGGTCGCGATCGAAGCAGTTGCGAACGACCGGTAGTAAGGCCGCAGCGACGGCTGCATCTTGCTGGGCACTTCCCGCCGTGGAGGATGTGGAGACTACCTCGGCATCCTCATCCTCCTCGTCGTCGAATTTGCCAATAGATATCTCAAATGGCTCCGAGATGAACATGACGTTGTGGCCGCCACCGTGGTGGTAACGGAACTCAAAGACACCTTGCGTCCACCACAGCTTGTCGCCCTCAAAGACCATCTCGCCTTGCACAAGATCGACCTCGGAAGAGGACGCGGTTTTGACGGGCGAGTCCCATGCAATGATACCCTGATCCAATGTGGTGTCGTATTGTCCCGGGCAAGTAGGGACCCAACGGCCGAGCGAAGGAACTTCTGTGGATTCTCTGGACCGATTGTCTGTGACCATGTAAAGGCCGACCCAGTCCTTTTTGCTGTGGTTTACCGGAGCCGTCCACTTGACGCGGATCGGAGCGCCATATTCGAATACCATGGTCTTGACAGCCTTGGGAACCCGCGCGCTAGCGCTTTCCTTTCCTGTGGCTTTCTCATTTGCACCCACGAGTGGTGTGCCATCCAAAGATAACGTATAGTGTTTCGGGTCGTACCCGGCAAGGTCGGGAGAGATCCGACTGAGAGTTAGACGAGCGGGATACTTGTTGAAGAGGGCTGATGTATCGCGGGCGATGGTCGAGGAACCAGCGGCAAGCCTTGCGCGGGCTGTCTGCACAAAGTCGTCGACAAAGTGTCTGCCCTCGTCCAACACCTTGTCCACGCTCTGTTGCCACTCTTTGACCGGCTCCGGGAGAGAACGTTTGATGAACTTGGTCAAGCCCGCCTCCTCACGGAGATTGCGGCCATAAATCTTTTGCATGTGAGGCTTTTCAACGTACGAGATGAAGCCGAGCGTGAGAATATGGCCCATAAGCGCCATAGCGAAGATAGAACGGCTCCACGTGATGAGAGCGGCGCCCCACAGGCCGGCAGTACCAATGACGCGCTCGGGGTTGTTGAGGAAGCGGTAAATGGACGTGTAGGTCAACTTTCCGGTGCTATCGAAAAAAAAGTCGCCGTAAAACCACCCAAACTCACCCAGGGATTCGTAGATGCTGGTGGCCGTCCAGATTTGAAGGGCAACAAGACTGATACCGAGGACGTGCTTGAGAAGAGCCCATCCATAGCCCCAGTCTTCTGGTATCTCGTACATCTTCCAGCATGCTGCCACAAACGAGGCGTGGCACATTGTGTTGCTGAGATGGTACATGCCCTTCCACTGGCGCCAAGCCTCACCGGCACTCTCACCGTACTTGACAAAATGTCGAGTGAACATCTTCTCCTCGGATTGCTTAGTGAGGATGACGCCCAGACCGACTGAGTACCACAGACGCCATAAGAGCGCGTGCGTAACAAAGATAGCCTGCCAAACCGGCGTCTGTGGCGTCATGACGGTGAAGACAATGAGGTAGCCGAGCAGGAGGAAAACCGAGTAGTCGATGGTGCGGAAGAGGTCAACGTTCTTGAAACCCAAGAGGTTGTGAACGGGAACGGGTGTCTCCCTGGTTCCGTCCAGCGTTTCAGCCATGGGGGCACTCATCTCCGACTTCATCGACTCGGCCCTCATGCGAGGTGGTGGTGGGTTGTACGTCTTCTCGATGTGGGGATTCTCGACGAAATGAAGGAATGCGAACTGGGCTACGTGGGCAAGAATCGAAATGAACAGCACATCGTAGCTGGCCGCCATCATGGAAATACCATAGTAACCGGCGTACCCGATCGAGTACATGGGATGCGGAGCCATTTCGAACACACCATCGAACGTCAGCTCCTGCTCGATCAGATAGAAGAAGTCTGGCTTTGTCAGTCAGGCACTCCGGCTGACCATGGACGAGGATGAGCTTACCGCCCCAGTACCAGGCATAGTCTTTGACAACTCTGTGGGCATCCAGTTTGACCCAGAGGTTGAAGCCTACAAGAGCAATACCGCCAACCCAGCGACCAATGGTGACGGGGACGGCCTCACCTTCGGGCCGAACACCGCACACAATGGCGAACAAACAGTACGACACAAAGTCACACATGAGGATCAGGTCCACTATACGCCGGAAGACCAGCCAGGTATTGTACTCAAGGGGCGCGCGGTCAAACTTGTAGTCAGCCGGGATCTTGGTCTCCAACTCCACCTTGAGCAGGTTGTACAGCCACGGCCGAGGATTCTTGCCCGTTGATGGGTCCTCGAAGAGCTTCCATCTCTTTGCCCAGGTAACCAACAACTTGTACTTGGACTGGATTGTCAACAGATAGCCAATTCCCACGTTGTACGAGGCTCTCCAGAACAAAAAGATGGCAGCGAACACAGGGCGCTTGAGGCCCCAAGGGAGATAATAGGCGGCGAAGATGTGGAGGGCGAGAATTGCAAGCACGATCGCGTCGGAGAGGTTCTTGGGCTCGCGAGGGTCTAGCAATTGCGAGACCATGTCATGGGTCGTGGGGACGACGAAGACTGACGACCGTTAGCAAACGCCGTGTGAGATATCGGCTTGGCATGCACTGCGCAAATGCGGCGGGATCCCGTACCCGTTCCATCCGGAGTGCGCCCGTAGGTCTTTGCGCCTCTGGCATCTCCATTGACGGGATGGGGGTGCTCTGAGGGCGCGTGGATGGCGTTGTCCTCGGCGGCTTCAGGCGCTCCCTTCGTCCGCTGGCGGACACCATTCAACCCCGCCGAGGGTTCGGCTGAGGTGCTCATTCTCGGGAGCGCTCGTTGCAGTGTTGAACCTGTAACGATTGTTGAAATTGATGGTAGACTAAGGAGTGTTGAACTGTTGTGGTCGAGAGAAGTATCACCCAGAACGGGATCACACGACCACAAGGTTCTTATGTAACGGGCGGCAATTGCTGGGCCTGGGGTTGGCCTTCTTTCGTCCCGCGTGGGTGTCTCCGTTAACGGCACCGCGTGGTCGCAGCCGCCAAGCTTCTGTCGCCAAGGTCTGTGCCGTGTCTGATGTGATTGAGACACCGGCAGTCGTTGAGAATAGGTTCTGGATCGGATGCAACCGCTTTTGTGGGCGACGTTCAGCGAGGTGGGAAGCTCTCGGGCTCTCACTTATAAGCGGGCGGCGCGAAGTTGCGGTGGCGGAAACCGCCTGGGAGTCTTCTCTTGCGGATACACCGGGGCTTTGACAGAGAGAAACCGCAAATGGACAAGGGACCCTGAATTAATTTTCTTCACATGTAATCTGGGGTTTGTGGGTTTATCTGGGCCTGTGGTCTTATCGTCCAGTCAGTGTTGAGCGCTGTTGTGTTGTCGGATGCGACCCGCAGCGGAAGCCATGTCGGCTGGTGAACGTCGAAGCGTGAGGAATCGGAAAGATGTCTGATTGAGCAACGTATCCTGCATTGTCAAATGCGTTTGTTTTTTGTCAATGGCACGGCGACTGGAGCTGCTCAAGAGTGTTGATCGAATCGTGTTCCTGAATCTGCGCAAATGCGATAACCTTAAAAGGTTCACACAAAGCAGGGACCTCTGCAAGGTACGGATTGCCAGGGCTCCGAGATAGGACAACCGTTGGCCAGTGCTTCGGGAATCGGCTCGCGCACCCTCCCAACTGCAGCCTTTACGCTTGACGCGCGTTTGATTGGGTCCCGACAACGTGTGAATCGTCGTGGTTCGGGGAGAATGGCGAGAAAGAATGGTTCCGGCGAAACGCATGAAATCGCGGGGTTCCCAACGACGCAACCACCTCGCGTCTGCTATAGGCGATGGCATAATCGACATTTTGCCGCCATGTCTCGTCGAATGTGAGCACGTCGCGAGGCCATATGAGGATCTTATAAGGAGGTGAGCTCTAGTCATCCTACATTTCTGACCTTGTATCTTCCGTCTATCATCGTTGTGTGTTATCCCCTTGCCTGTGTTTCCCGAGAGCACACTCCTCGATACAGCAGAACCATCCTCCCCAAACCCAGTTTCCCTTTGTTGAGATGCCTTCCCAAGATCGCCCCGACGCTACCCCGACAAGGCCAGAGCGGCCTACGAGGGTCAGTTATCTGAGCAACTACTCAGATAAACCTCTTCCCGAACCACGACCTGGCACGTCTGATACAGCCGAGCTCCAGCTCCACATCCAGCGCATGTCAGAAGAGTTGCGGCAGGCCAGGATCTCTGAGCGTCTGTATCGCGCCCGTAAGAGAGTTGCGACAGGCCGTACCAACAGGACAGAAGCCAAAGCGCACTTTCGCCAGTCCGTTCAGCATTTAAAGCTCGGGGTGCGGATGAGTTGGGCC